TCAAACAGCTAACAGCTTAAAGACATAAAGACCTGGATGGCCGCTAACTTTCTGCTTCTTAATTCAGATCAGACTGAGGTTATTGTACTCGGCCCTGAAAAGCTTAGTATCTAAGCAGATTATTACTCTGGATGGCATTACTTTGGCCTCCAGTAACACTGTGAGGAACCTTGGAGTCATTTTTGACCAGGACATGTCCTTCAATGCACATATTAAACAAATATGTAATGTAAATGAAAATTGAATATCTGAAAATACATTGCAGCCTGGTGGTGGAACATATATTTGGGTCCAGAGATGGAGTAGAGTCTGGCTTCACAGTCTAATTTAGCAGCTCTGACATCAGAGGTCGTAGGGGAGGAACAGCCACACAGAGCGTGAACATCACCTCTGTCTGCGCTGTGTTGTTCACAACCTTTGTTCTGGGCTTTTAAGTGGAGGGTGGAGCTTGTGTGATGAAGCTGAGAGCTGTGTTTGCACATGCTCAGTGTGACAGGATGTTAGCTGCTGTGAAAGCTGAATGCTCTCTGGCTAGAAGTGATGTCACACATTAGGATAACTGTGCTGGCTCTCTGTCAGAGTACCAGGGCCTCGCTTTGACCACATGACTCAGTACACAGCATGATGTGTGCGAGGAGCAGGACTGAGGTAAACCTCTGAGGGGTCAAACTGAGACTGAGCTCCAGATGTTTCCACATGTTTCTGCTCCGCATGTGTTTGATGATTATTTCAGGTATAGATGATGAAATATGACCAGTCTGATGTGAACCTGCTTCTCTGACAGCGCCTCACCTCTCTGCGCTGCCCCCTGCTGGCTCTTATCATTACTGACTGAGTCCTTGACACACTTACTGCCACTTTATTAGGTAGAGCTCACTAACACAGGCTCAGACCTGCTTTGCCTTCAGAGCCGCCTTAAATCTTCATGGCTCAGATTCAGCGAGGTGCTGGAATCATCCCTCAGAGTCATGTGATCAGTGACGTCTGCTTCAGTACTGACTGATAGAAAAGTGCCTCCACATAAACACGATGTGTAGTAGTAGTAGTAATAATAATCAAATAATTTTCAGCTTTTCAGCCCTTTGTCTGGATGCTAATCCAGCTGTGTGTGATTGTGATGACAATAAATAAATGTCAGACTTACAGCTCCTGTTTTACTGCATTAAAGTGATCAGATGACTTCCGCGCTTTGACATGGATGGTAGTGAAAGCAGGAAATGACAAACGTAGCACAGCAGCAGCGTTTAACACGTCTGAGCTGGAAACACAAACTCTGGTATGAACATCATTCATAGAACAGCTTCCAGCTTCTTTTGCTCTGCGACAGTTTGTATGGATTTGCATTTAAAGATGCTAAGAGACTAAAATGGTTAGGGTCAGGAGGTCAAAGGTCAGAGCTCCTGTGTGTCTGAGGGCAGCTTTACGTTGGAGAAGGATGAAGGAGTCTGACCTGAGCCAGTGTTCGACATGAACACATCAGCACTGCTGTCAGTGAGCCTAACGACAGCCGTTAGCATCATTTCAGTGTTTTGGTCATAAAAACACTTCCTGTCACTGTGGTGGTTACAGTGACATCATGCAGTTTGTGTTTTGACCTCCAGAGGGCCACAAATCAGCACAGACAGAGAGCTCCATTCAAACTTTACTGCCATCAGTAATAATTCTTCAAATATAATCATCAGTGTTTGTGCAGTTATGATATCAGGGACAATCTAGACGTGTGACAATAGTGAACATGTCACATGACACACCTTAAACATCATGTGATCCACTCTCAGTCTGCACTTTCATTCATGACTTCAACAGGTTGAAATGAGCTTTGAACAATCGTCAGTTTAGTGCTGAGTTATTCAAACGCTGCAGGAAGAACAAAGTGATGACAGATGTTTGTGTTTGAAACAGGAAAACCAGCAGAAATAAATCACCTCTGGACAACCTGCCAGAGATGATTTGGGAGTTTCCCACGTGCACCTGAATGCAGCACTGACTGTTTCTCAAACGCTCCTGATTGTAACGGTGTCCTCAAACGCCTCTCTGACTCTTTCCTTCCTGCTCAAAGTTCCTTTTTTTTCATGGTGTTTGTGGCTGATGCTGATCGTCTCCGTGTGAAGCTCCGTGTGAAGGTAACCCGAGCAGTGTGTAATGTTTCCTGGCTAACATCAGCTGTGTGCAGCTTAGTTCCAGCACACATCTGCCGCTCCATAGTTCACGGTAACGGACTCACAGCTGGACCAACGAGGCCGACCGTTAAACTGTTGCCGATAGCCTGTCTGTAAAAGATGTCTTCATGCTTGTAGTTATTAAAAAAAGACTCCACATTGAGTCGGTTTGAATGTTTTCAGTGATGATGTGTAGAAAAATAACAATGATGACTTTTTAAAGCTGTGTGGACAGGGTGGAGGTGCACAGGTTTATTTCTGGACTCCTGATGGTTTCTATAGCGGTTTTACACATGACATCATGCTGTTAGGGTCGTGATCACGTTCACAGAGAGTCTATTGTTACTGTCGCAGGTACAAAGAAATTAAAAGCAGAAAGAGAATCTTTTTTTTCATCTCTTCCCTGTTTCTGATAGAAGACGAGGAACAAAAACATGATAATTAACAGATACAGCAATCAGATAAACAGTATAAAAGTATTGTAACTATTAGGACTAAAAGTATTTGGATTTTTAAAGGTCAAACAATATGTGATGATTAAAAATCTTTACATTTTTATTTTCCTTTTTTCTTTCTATTCTTGTTTTTTTTTTTTTTTTTTTTTTCTTTACGTTTCATCATCTTCATCTGCCTCCAGCACCACCTTCAGCTTCTCTCTTCCATCTGAAACTCTTCCTCCTCACTGAAGTTAGGCTTCTAATGTGACAAATCCTACATGAATATACTTAATTCATCTCAATATTGCCTCAATTAGTCAGCAGATCGAATAACTGTGGTTTTCAGGGGTTTTTTTGTACCTACTCCACTGGGGTTGCAAGGTGATCCAAGCAGGTACTAAAATGTGGCGTTGCCAGGCTGTATGTCACTGACTGATTCACTGTCACCACAAGATGTGTCATGAGACGGTCTCCTTCAAACAAAGCAAACTCACCATGTTTAAGATGACAGTGAAAGAAACGGACGGGCAGAAAGCAGCACTGTGGTCAAATGAAGAGGTGCAGACCTTTTTGTGCACAGTGGCTGAAGAACAAATTCAGATGAAGCAGAATGAAGTGATCCGCATTGCAAAGGTTGGCTGCTAAAGGGACCAATGCACAGTAACCAGTGGCTTTAAAAACGTTAAAAACTGAAAAGTGATTACCGGGCCATCAAGGACCACAATGGCTGACGTGGGTCCAACAGACAGGACAGGAAGTGGTTTAATCAAACGGACGTCATTTATGGGCGCTGACCAGCGAGCACCTGGAGTGAGAGAGGCCTCGACTCACGGCACTGCTGGAGAACATGGTGACGTTTGTGAATGCTTTGTGTGTTTAATCGTAATTGTTCACTTTGAACAAGCCATGTTTCAATAACACTGTTGTCTCTTTGCAGATACAACGCTAGCTAGTTCTCTGTTTATGCTAACTCCATCCTCAGCTAGTTTTTGTGCTTACTGAGAGAACAACATAAAGTTCAAGCCACAGCTGAAGAACTACGCTTTCCTCCAATTTAATGTCATTTGTGTCCTTTTGCTGTGAAACCTTTTCTACATGCGAGGGCTTTTCATACATCTGGATTAGCATGGACCTCCAAGCTCCCCTGTTTGTTGCAGGGGCAACCTGCAGGCAGGTCCATTCCACTGCAGGGCAACCTGCACGTGGCGAATAAAATTTGAACTTGAACTTGTGCCCCAGCTCTAGTTGGTGTAGCGGTGCAGACGCCACACAGCGATGCCCCGTCACTGGTAAGAAATGGTGATGAAATTTCATACTACGTTGACTTTAGCAGTGATGGAGGAAGTGCACTTTTGTTTCATTTTCTTTCCTCCACTGTGTTTTTGCTCCATTTTTCCCATAATTCCTCTTGCATTGCATTGACCTTCCATTCTTCCTTTCCTGTAGGCGAGAGGAAGAGGACACAATGTAAACCTGGCTGTACTAGTGTGCTTGAGGCATGGCAGCACAGGGCGTAGGGAGGAAAAGCCAAAACGGCACAGGTCGCTGCCTTCAGTTAGGCATCCCTGAGTGTGGTCGGTTACCTCGCTTCAGTAATGCGTGGCCACCGTGGCTGATGTTTCATCTCATCCATGGACTTTACCCCTTTGATGTAAAACAAAAGCAAAAGCTTTACATTTCTCTACTTTGTAGCTTTTGGTTCTAGGAGAGGTTTAGTACAGCTTCAGTGTTGCACATAGAAAATAATTTATACATGGCACATTGTAAATAGTTTGAATTTTCCAGAGAGTCATAAAGAATTTAGTGATTGTTGTTTGTGCATCATATATTTTTTTCACGAATAACCAACATTTGGCACAGATGTGCCAGGATAACTCCTTTTGAAGAAAATAAAAACAGTCTCTCCTTTGCATTAAGTCATTGCACAAAAATCTACATCTGTTTATGTGCCAGAGAAAAAATCCTTTATTGTATGTGTTTTGTTGTGTTTGTGACGTTCAGCCACACTGATGTGGTTTTACACTGTAATGGGACACCAGTCGATCTGAGTCGGGTTGATACTAATGGAAAAGGGCTTAAATGTGTCCTGGGCTCATTAACTCTTTAGCTGATTAACTTCTAGTTAGTTAGCTTAGCTAACAGTTAAAGTGTGATCACTGTGTAAGCAGTCAGCTTGGTCCTGAAATAAAGCTGCTCGCTGCCATTTCTACAGCCGTGTTTGACCTGCTGCTTTGTTGAACTACAGTAATGGAGGATTTGGAGGCTGAACTTGGCTCTGTGACACTTTTTGTAATGAACTGATAAAAACTGTCTCAGGTGGATGTTAGTCCAACACGTCAGACACGACCTCTGCAGCTCTCAGTTGATGTGCACTTGAATGCTTCGTGTTTCCTCTGCAGGTGAAGGTAGAAAGTGTGTGTGAGCTGATGTGAGTTCAGCTGCATGGATCAGTGTGAGGACAGAGAGGAGGGAGCCCCTCCCTCTAAAGCCACCCTGTGTGGGGAACATGAGAGCCAGACCAAAGCTCAGAGGTGAGATGACGATCTCTAACTGTCCATGACTCTTCTCCATGTCACAGCTCAGCACTCACATCTCTGCTCCATCATTATTCACAGGAACCCACCTGGACCTCCACCCAGCTCTGTGTCCTTACAGGGCGACCGAGTAAAAAAATTGATCAATAAATTTGAACAAAGACAGTTATCTGAGTAAGCTAATGTCACTGTTACAATGTCTCACATGTGATCAGCTTAGATGTGCTGTAATTTTATTTAACCTGTTTTTAGGCTCCATCAGAGACTCAAACCTGGACCTAAACCCAGCTGTGTGTCCTTAAAGAGTGACCAGTCTGGAAATCACTGGATTAATTTTAAAGTCCAGCCTCCGTCTGCTGCAGAGAGGTGAGCTGTTAGTAAAATGAACTCTTTGATTTAACTGCTTGATGTTGTTGGATATAAACTGCAGTGCAAACACGTCATTCCCTCAATCTCATTTAAACTGTCTCTTTAAAACAAGCCTTTGGTTTCTAACCAACTGAAAATCTACTTCAGCAAACAGGAAGTGATGCTCTTGCTCATGTTTTCTTCCATCAGTCACGTGCTGTATGTTGGAGGAAGTTGGAGGACGTAACACTAACTCTGCTGCACAGATTTCACTTTGACTCATAAAACTCAAAGCTTAAAAAATGATTCAAACACTAGTTTTTATTTTTACTTAAAACTGAAGTCACTCAACATTTTTCTCCACTTTTCTGAAAATCCATCAAATAAAAATCTTCTAAAATGTAGAAAAAAAAGTTTCCTCTCTGACTTTGTGCCTTTTGGAGATCAGTTCATCTGCTGCTCACTGAACTGTTGGCAGAAATGTGTGCTGCACATGGTAAACACACGTAACTATACTGACGACTGCTTTAAGCAGGTGACCGACACTAAAAAGTTAATTGTGCCAATTAAACTTTCATAGTGATAGTGTTCATATTATTATGTTGGGTGGTTGAGCAAGCAGATTGTTGGAAATTTCAGCATGCAGTTAATTTTTATTTTATTTTCCAGAGACTGGATTCCATTCCAGTACATCCCATTACAACCAGTACAGTTAGCTAACCAGGCGACGAAACCTCAGCACTTCAAACCCCCCACACCATCGCTTTGGCAGTTGTTGCTAGCTGTATGCTGCCGTAGCTCAGTCAAAAGTAACTCAGGGAAGGATTTCAGCATGCTCAAGTCAAAAACTGGACTTTTCTCTACCAGCTGTATCAGAATAGCCTGATCACAACACACGTCAACTTTTGCTGCTGCCTTGGCGTAGTGTACGAAGGCACAAGGAAACAAATCTGACACTCCGCAATTTGCAACATCACGCCATGCAGAACAGCATGTTAACAAGTTTAAGCAGGGAAGGCCATGAAAGTTGCACTAGCAGGAAAGAAAAATGAAAGAGATGCCATTTAAAGCTCAAACAGGAAGTGCTGTCACTGAAAGAAAAAACTTATTTGTTCAAATTGATGTTGGTAAAAACATTAATCTGGTCGCTCCAGTGAGTTAGTTCCCTCTTAGGTCCCTTTGTGTCCCTGCCTCCCCAGTTGTGTCCTCGTGTCTGTCTGGTCTCTCTGTCTCCTTGGCTGTATGCGTTCCTTGTCTTGTCTCGTTAACATGTCTGCAGTTCTGGTCCTTGTGTTTTTCCTACATGGTCCCATGTTCTTCTTTTTGCGTCATGTGCTTTTGCCTCCCAGTCTGTTGTGTGTATTGATAGGTTTGTAACTTGAACCTATTCACTGGAACGTTGAAGACAATATAATTACACAGCCAGCAAGACACGAAGTAGGCAAAGTTCTTCATGTTTCTCGTGCACGGGAGAGAACCGGACAAACGCCGTTCCTTCGTTTGACCCCAGTCGCTCTCGTCCGCTCCCCCTGTAACACTGCTCTTTTATTGAGGTTACATGAATATGCATAGGTTCATTAACATACGATGTATACATACACACAAAGCGTACCTTGCCTGTGCGTTGTGTAAGTGTGTGTGTGTGGGGGGGGTCAGTGTGTGACCCCATAAAGACTTCCCTAAACCTGCTGGTCTGGAAGTCCAGCAGTTCATCTAAACAGAAGGCACTTAGACTAAAACAGCTATAGATACGTTTATCCTACCATAAAACAATAAGACAAGGTACGAGCTCTCCCACGCTCCCAGAGTGCTCTGGAATGCACACAAAGTTTGCAGACTATTAAGGATCAAACCTCTACCAATCTACAACTAATTATAAAACTCTAAGCATATATAAGTAGATATTTCTAAGCATAAATGACAATCAACAATACAAACCTAACATGTATCACCATAAGTTTATCCCTATTCCCAGTGTCATGTCCATGCAATTTTGTTTGAGTCTGTATCTATTACTTCCTGTTTTATTTTTGTTAGTCATCTATCTTGTGTGCGTATGTTCAGGTTTACTTCTGCTGTCTTGATATACAGATTTAGTTCACCTGTGTTACCTGGTCTGTTCCATCTCCCTGATTACCTGGTGTGTATGTAACATACTCCACTCTTAGTTTACTCTTAATTTCCTTCAGTCTGTTGTGCTCTCCTGTCTGTCTGTTAGAGTAAAGCTGGAGCAAAATGACTGAAAAACCTAAGTTGACTGCCTTATGTTTTGTTATATCTGCCAGCTAATAAAGATTTGTCTACGAAAGTTCTCAGTCATCCAGGTCACTGTAGTCTAAGGAGTGTGGAAAGAAAAGCGTCTGGACTTCTTGAAGTTTCTTCAAGATGTTTCACCTCTCATCTGAGAAGCTTCATCAGCTCTAAGAACAGCTGGGGGGAGATCTGTGCTTTGAGTTAGTGTTTGTCTGTGGAGTAATGCATTTGGTTCACAACCCATATATGACAGTTCTAGTCAGATACCATTGTGTTCATGTTTCCCAAAAGGTTGTGTTACTTTCAACTACCTATTGTTACTAAATAGATAGATGAAAGCAACTGTGCTGTCAGGATTTGTGTTTAGATCTCCATCAGGTTCAGCAGTCAGTAAGCAAAAGTTAGCCAACCTTGTTTTGGTGGCTGGTTTCAGAAGTTGAGAAACTGCTAAGCATTCCAATGCAAAGCCTCAAAGAGTAGAAACACCACAGTTCCAACTACCAACCGCGAGCCAACCTACAACTTTGATGGTATTGTATGATAATGGACTTCATTTCCCTCGTGTGATCAGACAGATTGCTAAGCAACCACATATTTGCCCCAACAGTCAATCAATTCATAGATATGACTGGTAGACACATTTTATTTTCAGGTGTGCACATTTTCGGTGGGCTCTGAATTAGGGCTGCCACAAATGATTATTTTCATAGTCGACTAATCAGCTCATGCGTCCACTGGACGTAAAACGTACAGCTTATTGCACCAGCAGCATCTGCTCTTATATAACTATCATTAGCTTACAGCGTGTTAAAGGTATGTGCTAACTAATAATAAAGGCAAGATGATAGTTTATTAAACTTTAATGAAAATGGCAGATTGTCTCAGTTGAGTTTAATAAACTCCCTGCTATCTAAAATATAACAGGACACTGGAGTAAATTCTCGAGCATCTCACACTTCTGTTTAATCAGTTGTCTGCTTGACGTTTATTCAGCCGTGTGTAAACTGTAACTTTAATCTCAGCCAAACCAATTTACTCAGGAACAAATAAAACACTGAAAAATCCAAACAGTAACATGTTTAAGTTATCTAAGTGACTTATATATCATGTTTAACCTGAGTAGCGAAAGACCGCGGGGTCTAAAAATGATGTGCCGGGAGTCCGGTTTTCTCGCCAGCTCTAGTGAACCTTGAACCCCGGCTAGCTATCGAGCTGGTGGATAACAAACGTCTCCGAATACGTTGGAGCGCTTTTACAAATATGTGATGTTTTGATAAACCGAGCAGATATTTGAAGTTCGCACAGCTACGTTCTCACCTGATTAGGGATGGGTATTGATAAGATTTTAACGATTCCGATTCCATTTTCGATTCTGTTTAACGATTCGATTCCTTATCGATTCTCTTATCGATTCTTTTTTTTTTTTTTAAAAAGGAGAACACTAAAGTCGATTAGTTTAGAACTGTGTTTTATATCTTCTCTTTGCCTAATGTTGAACACCTCAAAAACTGTCGGTATGTATTTTTCAAAACGCCCCTTAAACTTGAAGCAGTCAAACATATTCCTGGATGGAGTAGAGCTTGAATTAGCTCCAGAATTTAAATATCTTGGGGTCATTCTAGACCCAACATTATCCTTCAAGAGTCACATAAATAAAGTGTCCCAGGTACTTAAATTTAATAATCGAAATTTTAATCATATACGTAATAATTTAAATATGAATGTTGCAAAAACTTATTTTTACTCAATGATCATCTCTCATATGGACTATTGTTTGACGTCCTGGTCACTTGCTTGTCCAACAACACTTAAAACTATTGAAAACATTTATAAAAGAAGTTTAAAACTACTTGACAAAAAACCGACCTCCCACCACTGTCATGTGTTAAAAAAACATAAATTACTGAACTTCAATAACTTAGTGAAACTTAAAAGAGTTTAATATATAAAGTCTTACACTCCCTTGCTCCACCACCACTAAAGCAGTTCATTAGGCATAAAGAAAGCTCAGACAGGACCACTCGAGCTACAATCCGAGGAGACTTGTTTATACCCCACAGACGGACAGCATTTGGGCAGAACGTCCTTTCTGTCCAGGAGGCCATCTGTGGAACAGTCTTCCTCAACCCATTAGAGAATGCTCGACATTCAATTTGTTTAAGGCAAAGGTTAAAAACTGGTTATGGACAAATCAAGTGTGTGATCATGTATAAGTTGTATAGTTTTAATGTTTTATTTGGGAACAGAATGGTGTGTATGTGTAAGTTTGGTGATGGAGTTTTTATTATGAATGAATGATGAATTTTTATGAATTATTATGTCTATTTTTATGCTTAAGGACAACAGATGGAAATTAGCCCTTGGCTATAATCTGGTATGTTTACATTCATGTAATTTTTTTTTTTACATTTATGTTCATTAACATGCACTGTCCTAAATAAATAAATAAATAAACAAGATAGAAATTTAGGAGTAACATGGCCTTACAAACCCAACAGTGAGATCTTAAGAGATTCACAGCCTACGGCTCTTCAATGGGGTGTCACAGGGTCCCCAGGAAAAAAAATGTATATGTAAAATAATAAAATAAATATTCTCCTGTAGCAATAACAAAGTTTAACATAAATTATTCTGTAGCAATTACACAAGAATATCCAGTAATGTCCCTGCCTGCAATTAAACATATTCACTTACCAAAGTGAAATCAGGGGCATCTGCTGTGGCAAATTGGGTGCAAGCCTTTGACCACAAACTTAGACACTGCTGGGTGACATTCGTCTATCCTGGCCTGAAAGGAGACGCTACCGGTAGACTGCAGCGAGAACTGCCAGCATCTGAGCCAGACTCTGTCTGTCTCTCTCATCATGGTCACTAAATGCAACGCACAGTAATAGCAGGTTTTGTAATAAGGTAAATCGCACTAACATAATATCCAATGCTAATTTATTAGTTACCTGCAGTATTAACGGGAGAGGACGTGGAAACGCTACCGCTGCTGCTGGGTTGAGCTTCGCTAGTCCGGAGCGGATCAAAAACACGACATTCGTTGAAAGCAATCGCGTGTTTTTTGAGCAAATGCTTTTGCATATTCGTAGTGTTTCCTCCCTTTGATGAAATCTCTACTTTGCAAGTATTGCACGTTGCCCTGTTGTCATCCTTTCTCATAAAGTGTAACCAAACTTTTGAGCGTTTGTGCCGCTCAGGCGCCGTGTTTCCTACTGGGTAAAAGACGCTACTCAACGTGATGACGTCATTCGGGGCGACTGGAATCGATAAGGGAATCGTTTTTAAAAGTGGCAAACGATTCCAAGGAATTGAAACAGTGGGAACCGGTTCTCAACAAGAACCGGTTTTCGATACCCATCCCTACACCTGATAATATGTTAAAAGTTTATTTTGTGACCCAGAAAGATTAATAAGAGTAATATTAAAACTAAGTAGCTGCCGCCATTGTTGGAAACTGGAATTGGCTGGGCAGCGCTATGAATTCTGGGATAGGTTGGGCCACGAAGGACACACCCAACCCATCCTTCAAATCTGGGGAAAAGACATTTTGTTGGCCGCATTAGGAGGAGTCTTCAAATTTGGACAGCCTTCGTTGCGTCACCGTAATGTAATGTAATCAGCCTACAAATGCAGCTTCCAAAAGATGCGGCCTCTGAATTTGGACACAGCAACGACACAGGACACTGCTTCTCCTTCTTTGGCGTTTAGCGCCAGCTGGCATCCTTGTGCATGCAGTGCTGCCATCTTCTGTTTCAGTCCGTTATTACACTCTTAAATCCTACTACTTACTCCTGCATCTTTGGGATCTTACAAAGCTTCAATCAACTCGTTGACTATTAAATTAGTCGTCGACAATTTTGATAGTCGACGTAATCGTGACTAGTCCGAATTTCCCAGAGGAATCCACCCGAGGGATTAATAAAGTTTTATCTAATCTAATCTAATCTATCTAGTCGACTAATCATGGTAGCCCTACTCTGAATGTGTTGGATCCTGCAGAGTTTTTATGCCACATGCCCTTCCTGACCCAAGATCAATTTCTGTGCACCAGTGCCTACTGATGCCAAGTGTGGTTTGGTCAGGAGTTGTGTCTGTAGATTTGTGACCTTATATTTCAGTTGAGAGAATATGTCTCATCTTGTGGAGTGACTTTGCTGAAAGAAAGGTGATACCTATGCTTAGAGGAACAGACAGCCTATGGGTTCTTAAACAGATGACTTAGGGGCGATCGTGGCTCAAGAGTTGGCAGTTCGTCTTGTAATCGGAAGTTTGCCGGTTCGAGCCCCGGCTCGGACAGTCTCGGTCGTTGTGTCCTTGGGCAAGACACTTTACCCTACCGGTGATGGCCAGAGGGGCCGATGGCGCGATATGGCAGCCTCGCTTCTGTCAGTCTGCCCCAGGGCAGCCCTGATGGCTACAACTGTAGCTGCCTCCAGCAGTGTGTGAATGTGAGAGTGAATGAATAGTGGAATTGTAAAGCGCTTTGAGGGCCCCGAAAAGTGCTTTCAGCTTTCGGCTGAACCGCATGTGTAAGTAAATGGTAAATGGCCTGTATTTGTATAGTGCTTTTCTAGTCCCTAGGGACCCCAAAGCGCTTCACACTACATTCAGTCATTCACCCATTCACACACACATTCACACGATGGCAAGCGAGGCTGCCGGACACTGGCGCCACCGGGCCCTCTGACCACCACCAGTAGGCAAACATGGGGTTAGTATCTTGCCCAAGGATATTTGGCAACCACCGACCTTCTGATTAGTGGCTGACCTGCTCTGCCACCTGAGCTACAGCGACCCCACAGCCGCAATAACGAAGTGTACTGAGACCTGTGAACATATGGTCAGTTCGGTCGTGCATCATTTACAGCGGTGCAGAAACCCAGGATTGGGGCACTAGAGACCCGACCACATGTTCACACTTCTTTATTGCGGCTGTTGACTTACACACGCGGTTCAGCCAAACACACATCAGCAACAACACGACCTAGTTCATTCTGTTTTAAGCTGGCGAGATGTGACTGGGCATACCACTCAGGTGCGTCTGCCTCCCCGCAGCCGTGCCGCTGACCACGCCCCGCCACAGCTCAGCAGTCAAAAAAAGGCTCACTGCAGCCACTAAGAGTCAATGGTATGAAACTTTCACTAAATTGTATATTTTTCATCTCTCTTCACAAGTTTCTGGATTTCTTTTTTTTTTTTAAAGACTAAGACTGAACTATATTTTTCCACGTTTGGCACATTTTCACATTCTGTTTAACTTTTTGCTTTTTTGAAAAACAACCATACTAATTACCGTGTCACCATTCTGCTTAGTTCGTAAACCAGAATCATGTATTTCATCTTGTTGTTGTCATCGTGTTGTTGAGTTAAGGAGTAACTATTGTCATCTCTGATGATCAAACTGTGTTTGAGATAAAATATAATGCTTTAAATACTTTTCAACTATGAATTTCTGTTGAAAATGAACTGTTGAACATTTACAGCTGCAAGGAGTCATCTAAATCGGTCATTGTCCAAATGTCTCTTGCTTGACCTTTACTCTCTGCTTGAACTAATTCTTCATGATTCCTCCACAGAGTGCACCAGGAGAGCTCAGAGGTTCAACGTAGTCAGTCTGCCCATCAAACACAGCTGGACTCCATATTTATGGTCTGTACATGTACAACAACTTCTTTTATATCTATTCTGTTCACAGTCATCTTCATGCTGCTCTTTGTAGACCAGTGGGGTGTCAGTGTGCCCAACATGGATCTGATGTTTGGCTCCATGATTTCAGTCTGATTGGCTCATTCATAAAGTATCCTGTTCCAGATGCTGGAGGACAACATCATCACGTTTGTAAAGAACGAGCTGAAGAAGATCCAGAAGCTTCTGAGTCCAGATTACCCAGAATGCTTAGAGAGTCAAAGGGAAGAAGAAGAACAGAGGAAGAGGACCAGAGAAACTTTTGTGAAGATCACGCTGGACTTTCTGAGGAGCATGAAACAGGACGAGCTGGCTGACCGCCTGCAGAGCAGTAAGAGGATTTAAACTGCTGGATTAATGGGAAATTTACTTATGTCTTTAGAGACACGTCAACATGTGCAATCAATAAATTGAGATTCTTACTCCTCTGTTCCTTTAGGAATTCCCATTGGAGCTTTTCAACATCATCTCAAATCTTTCTTGTCAAAGAAGTTCCAGCATGTGTTTGAGGGCATCGCTAAAGCAGGAAACCCGACCCTTCTGAATCAGATCTACACAGAGCTCCACATCACAGAGGGAGGGACTGCAGAGGTCAATGATGAACATGAGGTCAGACAGATGGAAACAGCATCCAGGAAACCAGACAGACCAGAAACAACCATCAGACAAGAAGACATCTTTAAACTCCCACCTGGAAGAGATGAACCAATCAGAACTGTGCTGACAAAGGGAGTGGCTGGCATTGGGAAAACTGTCCTAACACAGAAGTTCACCCTGGACTGGGCTGAAGGCAAAGCCAACCAGGACTTCCAGTTCATGTTTCCATTCACTTTCAGAGAGCTGAATGTGCTGAAAGAGGAAAAGTTCAGCTTGGTGGGACTTGTTCATCACTTCTTTACTGAAACCAAAGAAGCAGGAATCTGCAGCTTTGAAGACTTCCAGGTTGTGTTCATCTTTGATGGTCTGGATGAGTGTCGCCTTCCTCTGGACTTCCACAAAACTACAATCCTAACTGATGTTACAGAGTCCACCTCAGTGGATGTGCTGCTGATAAACCTCATCAGGGGGAAACTGCTTCCCTCTGCTCGCCTCTGGATAACCACACGACCTGCAGCAGCCAATCAGATCCCTCCTGGGTTTGTTGACATGGTGACAGAAGTCAGAGGGTTCACTGACCCACAGAAGGAGGAGTACTTCAGGAAGAGAATTGGAGATAAGAAGCAGTCCAGCAGGATCATCTCCCACATCAAGACTTCACGAAGCCTCCACATCATGTGCCACATCCCAGTCTTCTGCTGGATCACTGCTACAGTTCTGGAGGATGTGCTGGAAACCAGACAGGGAGGACAGCTGCCCAACACCCTGACTGAGATGTACATCCACTTTCTGGTGGTTCAGGCCAAAGTGAAGAAGGTCAAGTATGATGGAGGAGCTGAGACAGATCCACACTGGAGTCCAGAGAGCAGGACGATGATTAAATATCTAGGAAAACTGGCTTTTGATCAGCTGCAGAAAGGAAACCTGATCTTCTATGAATCAGACCTGACAGAGTGTGGCATCGATATCAGAGCAGCCTCAGTGTACTCAGGAGTGTTCACACAGATCTTTAAAGAGGAGAGAGGACTGTACCAGGACAAGGTGTTCTGCTTCATCCATCTGAGTGTTCAGGAGTTTCTGGCTGCTCTTCATGTCCATCTGACCTTCATCAACTCTGGACTCAATCTGCTGGAAGAACAACAAACAACCTCCAAGAACTCTGACACAAGAGAATCTACAGAGAAAAACTTCTACCAAACTGCTGTGAACAAGGCCTTACAGAGCCCAAATGGACATCTGGACTTGTTCCTCCGTTTCCTCCTGGGTCTTTCACTGCAGACCAATCAGACCCTCCTACGAGGCCTGCTGACACAGACAGGAAGTAGCTCACAAACCAATCAGGAAACAGTCCAGTACATTAAGGAGAAACTAAATGAGAATCTGTCTGCAGAGAAAAGCATCAATCTGTTCCACTGTCTGAATGAATTAAATGATCGTTCTCTAGTGGAGGAGATCCAGCAGTCCTTGAGTTCAGGAAGTCTCTCCACAGATAAACTGTCTCCTGCTCAGTGGTCAGCTCTGGTCTTCATCTTACTGTCATCAGAAAAAAATCTGTTTGAGTTTGACCTGAATAAATACTCTGCTTCAGAGGAGGCTCTTCTGAGGCTGCTGCCAGTGGTCAAAGCCTCCAACAGAGCTCTGTAAGTAAACATGTGGTCACAGCTATTTTTTAAATTAACAGCAAACAGGTATCCACAACTAACAAAAGAAACATTACTGGGTGCTTATATCTGTAAAATCAGTAAAACTATTAAATGATCATCAGTAGTCACTTTATGCAAAGTGACTAGAAATTGTGAGTGTTTGTGAAATATTTCGAAGTGTAACCTCATCACTCAGGCTCCATTCAAGCCTCTATCTACACCACAAGCGTCTAGACTCTGGGCGGGGTCCTGCTCTAATCCCCGTCACCACTGGGAATCCATTCTGAGATGGGCCATCGGAGTCTTATCGCAAAATATCTCTATCTGAATTCTGTACATCAATACATTTTTTTCCCAAAAGGTGATTCTGTTCATCTGGATGTAGCGTTTTCAATGTGCTGTAGAAACAGTACATTTGCACACTGACCTCACATCCTAGTGAAAGAACAATGGTCTGTGAGGTCATTTCCTTGATCATTAATGTACAAATTATTATAAAGTTGCAAACTATTATAAGGCTTTTTATGAAGTTGAGGAAACCTGCAGTCAGTTGAGACTGAAGAACTTTTTTGGATGAGTGACAAAATGTTTCTCCCACTGGAAACGCTACGTCCAGATAAACAGAATCAACTTGTTGGGATTTACCTACCTGGATAATTGAGCATGCATCAAGACAATAAATCGTGTTCAGTTCCTTCTAATGGCCTCTAACTCGTTTTGCTTGTGGGTTCCTGCTGCCAGCCCCAAGAAGAATCTCCCTGCCTTTATTTTCTACAGCTTTGTCTTGTTACCCCCATTTCCATTTCCCCGATTAGTCTCGAGTTCCACTTCAATGTTTGTTATGATTTTGAATTTAGCGTGGTATTTTATTATTATGTGGACTTTATCAGTCAATAAATACCTTGCTTCTTCTTAGTTTGCCTTCTGTATCAAGCACTTTTGGTCCTATTTCACAAACTTTGTGATCCTTCAGATTGTTAGAGAATGCCATGACCAGTATGGACCCAGGAGAGAAACCATTTACACTGTGGAAAATGAGGCATCAGTGCCGACTTTATCTCACCACTTTGAGTGACCCTGATGTAAGGAGTTTGGTGATTGCTCTTTTTGCTTCTTGGAAATTATTCTCACAGAATTCTTTACTGCTCCAACCTGCCTGCCTTGTCCGGACTGGCCATCCTTCTAACCCTCAGTCGAGGTCACACCTCTATCTAAATTCCACACACCTGGGTTCGTCAATGCAAAGTCAATGAATGGTGCTAGATACCAGGATGATACCTCTTCCTTTTCCTCATGAACCGAGCCGGTCTGCTTGAACCAGCACCTTACTAGAGTCGAGTCAGCCAATTGTAATCTTGTAAGATGCTTTTATTTTTCTTGGAGTCTGTTCTTCCCATGTCTGAAATGATGACTCCAGAAATTGTGCCTCCTGTTCCTGAACTAGCTAATCTTGAGGTTGCTCTTCCTGGGCCTTAGCTAGCTACCCCATATATTTTGAGCCTCTGCCTTAGCCAAACAAACTGGAGCATATGAGTCCTTTAATGCCTGAGCTTAAATAACCAGAGAAATGTTAATACAAACTTGAGCATTTTATGGTGCCAGAGATGTGCATCCTGATCTTGATCTTAAAGGGAAGCTGGCTGAACAAAAGACTAAGGCCACTGCTGCTAACGTGCCTGCTCTGCCTTTGTGGCTGGCTACAGGTTTAACTAACGGATGGACTCTCCTTTCCAGCACTCTGGCATAGACTTTCTGGGGGGGCTGAGGAGTTTGATCCCCCTGTAGTTGGAACACACCCTCCGGTCCGCCTTCTTGAAAATGGGGACCATCAACCCGGT